CGTTGGGGATCAACCAAGAGATATCGAGCGGCAGATTAAAGATATGGTTCTGAAGTACATCCAAAAGTCGAATGCTATTATCTTGGCCGTTACTTCTGCCAACATCGATTTAGCTAACTCAGACGGCCTTCAACTTGCCAGGGAAGTGGATCCCGAAGGACAGAGGACAATCGGTGTCTTGACGAAGGTGGATCTGATGGACGAGGGTACGGATGTTGTTGACATTCTTGCTGGACGTATTATTCCACTACGACTTGGATATGTGCCTGTCGTGAACAGAGGTCAACGGGATATCGACAACAAGAAACCCATTTCGGCATCCCTCGAAGCGGAGAAGAATTTCTTCGACAACCACAAGGCTTATCGGAACAAGAGCTCATACTGCGGTACCCCGTATCTAGCGAGAAAGCTCAACTTGATTTTGATGATGCACATTAAACAAACCCTACCTGATATAAAGGCAAGAATTGCTAGCTCACTACAAAAGTACACTGCCGAGCTCGAAAGTCTAGGCCCGTCGATGCTAGGTAACAGCGCAAATATCGTTCTTAACATTATTACCGAATTTACGAACCAATGGCGGACTGTTTTGGAAGGTAACAATGGCGAGCTGTCCAGCACAGAACTCTCTGGTGGTGCCCGAATCAGCTTCGTGTTCCACGAACTATACTCCAATGGTGTCAAGGCGGTCGATCCTTTTGATGTTGTGAAAGATGTCGATATCAGGACGATACTATACAACTCGTCTGGCTCTTCCCCGGCGCTCTTCGTCGGAACAACCGCTTTCGAAGTGATCGTTAAGCAGCAGATCAAGCGACTCGAGGAGCCCAGTCTCAAATGTGTCTCACTCGTTTATGACGAGCTCGTACGCATCCTGTCGCAGCTCCTCACTAAAGCACTATACAGGAGATACCCGCAGCTGAAGGAGAAGTTCCACGGCGTCGTTATCGGTTTCTTCAAGAAGGCCATGGAGCCCACCAACAAGCTTGTTAGGGACCTTGTAGCTATGGAGTCATGCTATATCAACACGGCCCATCCTGACTTCCTTAACGGTCACCGAGCAATGGCCATCGTGAACGAGCGGTATAACGGTGCAAAACCTGTTCAGGTCGATCCTAAGACCGGGAAGCCTTTACCAGCAGCAGCAGCTACACCAGGACGTGCTGCTAGTCCCTCGATAGACAACCTGGATAACAACTCGGGCTTCTTCGGCAGTTTCTTCGCTGCCAAGAACAAGAAGAAGGCCGCTGCTATGGAGGCTCCTCCTCCGACGCTAAAGGCTTCTGGGACTCTTTCCGAGAGAGAGAACATTGAAGTTGAAGTTATCAGTAAGATCAGTAAGACGGCTATGCTAAAGTCATAATGCTAATGAATGATTGTAGAACTATTAATTGCTTCGTATTTCAACATTGTCAAGAGGACAATGATCGACATGGTCCCCAAGGCTATCATGTTGAACCTTGTCTCGTAAGCATACAACCGACCCGGATAGTCTAACAAATTGCTAATTTTGGTCATAGGTATACTAAAGAGGAAATGCAACGAGAGCTCTTGGAGAACATGTACCGAAATGATACCCTGGATGACCTACTAAAGGAGAGTGATTACACGATCCGCCGGCGGAAGGAGTGCCAGCAAATGGTCGAGTCCCTTGGCAAGGCCAGTGAGATCGTCAGCCAAGTTCAGTAATGCGGAGGATCAGTCAGTGTCATGCCGCGGGCATCAGATATTTTTCTAGTCGGTCAGCTAGAATGGCTATGGTCCCGGTACGACATGGAAGAAGTACGCCGAGCTATCGCCGGAGTGTTGTTGTTAGTTCTTATTGGCAATCGGTGGTCGGGTCTTGTTGAGTACGCCTCCCTACCTCTCTCCCCCTTTTTCATTATACATTAGTCATGTCATGTCATACCCCAGCCCCCCTTTAGACACGTTCGGTTTCTCGGTAGATGAGATAAGATGAGAAATAGCATGGCCAATTCCCACGATGAAAGATGAGATACGGGATGATTAATGTACCTAGGATGAGAAAATTGAATCCAAAACCTCTTTTTTTTCGTCAGCACTTTTCAAACGTCTTTGCTAGTGTGTGTTTTTGATCTGCGTGATAGGTCTTTTCACCTTCTCCATCTGGATCTCGCCGTATCGTCCCAGTCCTGGGTGTCGGGTTAGCTTGCTGCTTGCTGCTTGCATGATACGGGATCTCGATGTGTTAGGGGGGGGGGACCAGGAAATAGGGGTAGTGGTCCTTTATTATACGGCCAGGGATCATGTTCACCGAGGAGACGAAACGGAGGTCGCATATTCGCATACTTCGGCATAGCCGAGAACGGGTTTGGTTTTTTGGGGGGGTTTTTTTTTCTATTAATAATTCTTCGCCCGCGAAGCAAGATTACCGCTGCCCGGCGAATGCCGACGGGACCCGGGGGGGGTGGGACTGGGGTAAGGCGGAGGATCGGGAGTCTAGTCCCGAGCGTGGGGCGGCCGTGGAGATCCGAACTTGAATCCTAAGCTGCCTACTTAACCTACTAGGTTAGTAGTTCGTGTATGGGAACGGATGGATGGTTGAATTGGGGGTAGTGAAGATTGGAGATTTAGCTAGCTACCTAGCTAGCTACCTTGTAAGGCAAGGCAAGGCATGGTAGGTAGGTAGAGTGAGCCTCCGGACGGATGGAGATGGGCGGACGGGGGTTGTAACGTCATTCAGGGTCAGGGGTAGGTTTGCAAGTCGCGATGCGATAAGTGATGCTATATGACGTGTCTACCTTGCGCCTAGGGGTTGTTGTTGTTTTCTTTTTATAATTATCATGCCGTGCTTTGCGTGCTACGAGATACCTAACCTAATGTATGCGCTCCTACTCAACCCGCTTACTCACTTACTCACTTACATACTGTGCGTGTATAAGATATGAGATATGTAGATCTATCCACCGTCCACGAAACGCCAACTAACGGCTTATCCCACGTTTTCTTCTTTGTCATCTACCTACATACATATACATAGCCTTAACCTGGGTACCTAACCCAGGTAGGTATTATATTTCCCACCGCCTCGCTTCCCCGGGATGCTCCCTGTCCCGCCCCCTGCTCCCGTGTTTCTCGGATCTGCCTGTCTGTCTACCCACGCAAAGATATATTTATATATGGGATATAGATGCCAATGCATGTGTCTAATGCAAGGTCCTGGCATGGGGAGCTGAGGATCCCTGCCCGGGATTTGAGGCTGGTCCTGCCCATGCTACAGTGCAGACAGCATATGCGACGGCCCGACGGACGGATGTAGGGGATAAGATAAGTACCTACATAAAAATAAGGGATCGTATATTTGAGATCTGATAGGTTTTTTTATAATCTGGGGGGGGGGGGGGGGGGGTGGTTGGGGGGGGGGGGGGGTTTTTTTTTTATATGGGGGGTTTGGTGGGGGTT